TCTACGACGCCTTGATCCCCTTCTGGCAAACTTTAATGACCACTGTCCATCCAACCGAAAGGCACTTATAAAAAACTTTCCATTCCATTCTGACTTCACATAACTTTGCATCTCTCATTAATTTATTCGTTTAATTTGTCAAATTGTTTTCTAGTCAAGTATTGCAGTCAATTGACTTCAAAAATATGCAGCAATCTTAAATCCCGCCTTTCAAGCTTCTTCGATCTTCGTGTTGTTTATATTTCAGGTCTTATGGCGTCCTGTTGTGGGAGATTCTGACGGGAGAGATTCCCTACAATGGAGTTGACTCTTCAGCCATCATTTGGGGTGTCGGCAGCAAGAACCTGCAACTCCCAATACCAACCTCTTGTCCCACAGAATTCCGGGTTTTGATGAAGATGTGCTGGTAAATAAGTGCATTTTCAATACCTGTGAAATAAAAAGAATTTATTAAAGGGTTTATATGGGTATCACTCATCCATATTATATTCATTATTTCTCTTGGAGCCTAACAAATTTGCATTTAAGGCCGAGGTCTGTCCGTTGCCTTTTACATTTTAGCCTTATATTTCAATTCTTCTTTTTTATTTTGGAATCTAAATAACCGATCAAATATTTGCAGTCCTGATTGGTCTCATATCCCACTAGTGGCCACTGTTACACCAATCTTTCGGATTATCTCCATCTAGAAAAAGATTCATTTTCCAGTAACTCTCATTTCTTAGGTGCTGATTCTTCAAACTAGTTTATTTGGCCTCGATTTCTGCTTCTTGTTTTGGCTTTTATCTGATCTGGATGGGCAGAGTTTGCAGGGATTTTGCCAAGCGTATCCTCCCAAAGTGGCCATATGCTCCTAGTCATTTACTACTTTCTGGTGAAGGGAACTTAAATAGGTTTTCAGGCGAAAAGAGTCAACTCAATCCGAGGCCAATATCCGAAAGGCAACCTGCGACTTTCTGCAACAAAAATTGGAAAACGTATGAGTTTCTTTGCATTTTTATATATGATTATATATATAGGATATATAAGAGTGTGTGTGTGTATGCATGCTATTTGGTAGTTAGGTATGTAGGTAAATTCATCTGTATTTCCAACACCAAATATGCACTGATGGCACTTTATTCTTCCACAATATGCGATAAAAAGATGGATGAGGGGTCTTTAGCACTGCGGCTGGCTTTCACCAGAGTTGTAGCCTCCTTCCGACATATGTCGAAATTGTCTGTCAATAAAAGTATGTTTTTATCTGTAATGTTACTTTAGGGGGCCAACTTTCTATTTATTTATGCCATTGCTTTATCTTTGGTTCATTATTTGCATCTGATTTTACAGGAACTCTAAACCTAGGAACCGACCCAGTTTTCGTCAGATACAATCCCATCTGGAATTAGCCCATCACGAATTGGCGCAATTTTCTGAGGATGAATTCATCGGCCTTCAGAAAATCTGGCGGCTAGAGATCAGCACACATTTTCGCGTAAGCAATTCTAAGTTCTTGATGACATTTTCGACTTCCTGGTTAATTTAAATGAAATTTTTTATGCACTGAGGCTGACGATTGTGTGAAATATTATGTCAACTCTTTCCTAAAGGAGAGTAAATTAAGCCAAATTTGGCTGCTTCGGCATCCATCACTAGCTCGAGCTTCGCCTTACGTCTAGCGATCATGAAATACAACTTATTCATATGTGAGCTGTCTCACTTTTGGTCCTCAAGTCAAAAATACCATCCAGTGTTATGATGTGTTAGCCGATATTTTGGCCCATTACTAGCTTGAATGATGGGAAAAGTCTATAACCAATTCTTTGATAAAATGCTTGTTTAATTTTTTTATTTTTGCTTTTATTTGAGTTGTAATTATTTACAAAATTTGGATAATTAGTTAGTTTACCAGGCCACCATTCATCAGGAAGGCTTCGCTCGATTCCGGTAGTTTTGAATGAAACAGATGTCCTAATGTTTTTCTGAGGCACCAGATTAAACTGTTCGAATCCCCATTGGGCTCCTGGTGAGACTAGGAGTGGACCGAAATGGCAGTCTATTTTGGAAGATAATTCTCTCTTTAGATAAGTGACATGTCCAAATTTGATGAAATAATGGATGTTAATTAATAATTTTATTCCAATAATTAATGATGACAATAATGATAATAATGATAATTATTAAGTATTATTATTATGTAATAATATTTAATTATAGTTAAATTATTAAATATAAGACAATTCAGGTTGTCAACGAAAAAGCAAGGATCAAGGTTCTGCCAACACTTTGTATTCTCAAATTTATTGAGGGTACATACATAGACTCGCTATTGGATTATTTTTTATCGCATCCTCATACTATGTTCTGAAAGTATACAGGGATTCCGCTAATTTATTTTACTACGAACAAACAGTGTTAATTATCATTATGTTACAATGTTTCTATCTTTATTTCCTAACATTTGCGAAGAGCTTATAAGCAACAACAATTTTGCTCAAATTATGATATGTCCGTTATGCACGCGTTATAAAAGTGGATTTCTTTGCCTTTCTAAAGCATTTTGATTCATTTGTGCTTAACTGACAGATTACTTTCTTCCTTAGCTTGGAATACAAGGTTGAATAAAGAAAATTATACAATCAATCCTAACTTTTAGTTTCGTCATATTTTTCATGTTTGCCATTGGCTAGATGCTGTTGTGATGCCTAGGAGATGATAGAACCACCAGCAAATGGAGGGAACGCTTGAGTCTGACACAATATGATTAGACTTTGTGGCCTAGGGGTTAGTATGCTCGTCTCTTAACCCTCATGTACGCATCTATAAGCCTTTTGTATGTGCACTT